TTTAGGCTTTAGGGTTTAGGGGTTTAGGGTTTAGGGTTAGGTTACCCCAAAGCCCCATAGACTCCATAGAAACCTAAATAGGGCTCGGCCCGAGACTCTGGACATTAATTGATTGATAGGGCTGGCCTCCAATACAAACAAGCTACCTTTCAAACGAAAGGAGCAAAGCTTCCCAACCATACTGGGATGGCTCTTTCTGTAGATGGGAGGCCTTGCCTCCTCCACTCACTGGTTCCAGGGTTAACTTCTCAGTCTAGGGAGCGTGACCCTAAACCCCTAAACCCTAAACCCTAAACCCTAAACCCCTAAACCCTAAACCCTAAACCCTAAACCCTAAACCCTAAACCCTAAACCCTAAACCCTAAACCTTTCTAGTTTGGACTTCACACGCTTATAGCTCAAACCCTGTATGCTAGATCTTGAAAACATAAACTCTCGACCGTAAGCCCTAAAGCCTGTAGAACCTCTAAAGTCCCACGCGCAGAGCTTCTCGGACTATTCGTCTGCTTCAAGGGTGCTTATACTGTGCTTATCCTTCTGGCTCCTTTCGAAAGGATCAACACAAAGCTTGTGGCGGTGAGCCCTATTGAAGGCTTAACAACAGGATCTGGGGGGGGGGGAACTCTACTTTCGAATCGCAGCTACAGGAAAAATACACAGCAGCATGCGGCAATAATATTCAGGTACGATGGTCAGGGCTGATGGTTTCTAGCCTTTGTGTGGGTCCTGTCAAGATTTGCAAACGTATAGTGAGTACAACGTACTGTGCCAACAACCAGTAAGGCATCTTTGCCAGAAGTCCTGGCACTGACTCATTATGGAAGACTTGGCATTGGGATGTCTAGACGTTGCGGCTCGGTCTCCTCGAGTGGGGCATCATGATCTTGGAACTATCTCTTGCAGCTGTCCCTCCTGCGCCCTGTACTGTACCAAGCCCTGCACTTTCGACGACGCATGCATTCTGGATTCTGTCTCTTGCAGATCGCGCAGAAACGAGAACCTCGGGAGGTAAAACACGCACGATCAACGGCACAAAATGAGTGCATGTATGACATACATATCATCGTCATCGTCAGACGGATGTGTGCCCCGAGCCTTGTGGAATGCCATGCCTTTGCCTGCACGTGCAGCGCTGAGGGTTGTGGACTCCATTCGCGCTTTGCTCACAGACGAGTTAGATGGATTTTGGGATATATTCTCGGGTTGCTATATCGGGACTGCCAGGGCGTATGATTACAAGATATTACTAGGGCCTCAGACCTGTGCAATCACAGCCGAATCCGTCAAATCGCACCCAGAGAAGCATTGTCGGACAGTTGTCGCCTCTAGCCACGAAAACGATCACATCACCGCCTGTACGAGCACAGAAGTCTTCCCCATCAAGATTGCCATGCTCATTGGCGTACTTACGCACAATCTAGCCTCGCTATCATGATCATGTCGACCATGACCATGATCATCGCACCACTTTAACAATCTTCATCGTCGCAATCCTTTCCACCATCTGTTGTTCAACCACCTATAGGCGCCAACTGGTCATCATCATCATCGTCGTCGTCTGCACGAGCGCAGCATCACCATCATCTTCATCATCAGCAACAGCATGACCATAAAGTCACGGGCATCATCCGTCGTTCTCCTGCTGCTCACCACCATCGCCATGATCAGCATCACCTGATCCTCAAGCCTCCTTCCTCATACCGTCATGAAGCTCCGAACTGACTCTCAAAAACCGAAATCCAAGCCCCGAATGGCTAGACCCCTGCAGCCCGTAAAGGTTGCTTGCCTAGAAGTCTCTGCTAATGAGGTCGCTACCTCATAGGATACTATCAGTAAAGGGGCTCGAATCGGGATGCAGTAGTTTCCATAAACTGGCGCCCCGATAAAGACCCCGATGCATGATGATCCTTATGATCAAGAAGTGACTTCCACTTCCCGGACACCCAATCACATGTATGACATGCTCTTCAGCTTGGTGGGCTTAGGGCTGAGAGTCTAGGGGTAAGAGCCTGAAGTAAATGCAAAGCATGGACCCCTCAGCCCTAAACCCTTCACCTTAACCCCTACACCCTTAACCAGATGGCAGCCATGCCGCTTTCCACAGTTCTATCACGCTTACGAACTATTGGGTTTAGGGTCGATCAGAGTCTATAGGGAGTCACGGTATATCTTGAAATTAAAACCCCCCCCAAATCCTTGAAAAAGGGCTTCCGCATGGCACCCCCCATGCGCACCGAGGTAGGGCATTGCAACCGTTGAGGCCTTTGGGTTCAGGGTATCACAGGTGTTGCCCATTTTTCAGACCAAGGGCCCTCCTAAGGGTTAGGGTTTAGGGTTTAGGGTTTAGGGTTTAGTTCCGCTTGACTTTCAAGACACGGCGGAGTAAGTCTCTTTTCCCATCCGCAAGTGGACGGTTTAAGAGATCCGACTGAAGAATCTCCCGGCCCACTGCCACCTGAGACTGTGAGCATGTCAACCCCTGGCCAAAGTTCTTGCGGACCGCTCAGGAAACTTCAAGAAATCTCCTAAACCCTAAACCCTAAACCCTAAACCCTGAACCCCAAACCCTAAACCCTAAACCCTTAATCTCGAAAAGAAAGAGGAACCTTAAAGGCCCACTCAACATCTTTCCAATGCCTCAATTAAGCCAGGGGCCGTCATGATGCGCTTCAAAATCTTCTTGGCCGGTCAGACTGGCCGAAAGAGTGAAACTGCAAGCTCAAGATACCAGGGTCTTAAGCCCCGGCCCAGAAAAATCCACAATATTGCAGACTGTGCCGATTACATCTTTACAGTCTGTACAGGTGAGATGTTAGCGCCAAACGCTTTAAAAGTGTCCGCAGACCTGCCAGCTGCATGTAAATGAGCAGCAGCATCTGTTGACGACAAAGGACCGAGCTGTTCAGAAATTAACCTAGGTCTTTGTTCGGTTTAGGATTTAGGGTTTAGGGTTTAGGGTTTAGGGGATTCTTGAGGGGCTCAAGTTTTGGAACCATTGGAGACTGAAACAGCAAAAGCATAAAGGAATCTGAATATTGATCAAGTAACATGGGAGAAGCGCTCTCTCCGAAGTAGACCTTCCTGCTCCTCTCGCCGGAATCTGCACCGGCCTGGTCGCATGCTGAAACCCATTGCATGGTCGGTCGGTTGGGTTGAATAACAATCTACAAGGTCAACAGTGACCCTTTCTCCAAGAATCATATCGAAACCTAAACCCGAGACCCCAACCCACAAGCCACTAAGTCACAAACCCAAACCCTAAGCCCTCAACCCTAAACCTAAACCCTAAACCCTAAACCCTAAACCTAAACCTAAACCCCAAACCCCAAACCCGCAGGATTCCAGCTGCAGCCGTAGATCGATCGAGGAAACTGGGCGGCTATGATTCAGGTACATGCTGCGGAAGGCTTCCGGGTGGAGCATCTTCTTGCCCGTCCTTGCTTTAGGGCTCAGGGTTTACTAAAGGGGCCTTAATAATTAGAACAGGGTTTGGGGGTATATGATACTATAACTATGACTATAATAAGGCCCCTAAACCCTAAACCCTAAACCCTAAGCCCTATTCTAATTACTAAGGTCCTACATTAGGGGATATTCACATTTTCAGAAGGAGATCTTTTCTGCCTAGCTATGGGTCTAGGAACTCACATTGTCACAAGGGCCCCGCCTACGCTAAGGTTGAGGGTTGAGGGCTTAGGGACCCATATGTCATGCTACGGAAGCCTTGTGATAAACCCTAAACCCTTAACCCTAAACCCTAAAACCCTAAACCTCATACCCTTAACCCTAAACCCTAAAACCCTAAACCCCAAACCCTTAACCCTAGTCCCTAAACCCTATATGATCTACTACACATCCATGTCACATCTGGTTCTCCCTGGTTCTTGCTTGGTGGTCTGTTCAGGGAACGAAGAGAGGGCAAAGAGAATGGCACTGCAACACTATTGAGGTCTATATACTTGGTTGGATTCGAGGAACATATACTCAACTACCCTACTTTGTGTATATGGTGGACATGAGGTCTCCTTATTCGAGTAGCTTAGCTGTAAGTTCATTATTTCCTAAGTAACTCCGGTTTCCGTTTCCCTTGCCATGTACTTGTGCATTTGGGTAGTTGTCAAAATTATGGTCCCTTTTGGGGTACCCTAAGTAATAGGTGCCGTATTATTATAAGGACCCAAAAAGGGACCATAATTTTGACAACCACCCCCATGTACTTGTGCATTTGATTCTCCGTTCTGGGCCCTGGGACCGAATCCTCAGACCCTGAGCCCTAGACCGTGAACTCCAAACCCACAACCCGTAACGTGGGGGCTTTAATCAATGCCAATCCTGTTTTGGGGGGCTCCTGATTTGAATTATAGTATAATGGGCCCCAAAAAACCTATTCTAATTATTCAGGCCCCTATATTAGACCCTAAACCCTTCAAAACCCTAAAAAGCGATCATCAGCCAAGCTTCCGGTGCCTCGCTCGAACCTCATCATGTGGGGATCCTATGTGCAACAGATCTCTCGGCCTCATGTGATCGTCACCAAGCATGATCTCCAACTTGGTTTCAAGTCTGGACATCGCAGACCTGGGATGTGGCTCAAAAAGGCGAGAGCAGATCACCATGATTTCTTAGAGCCACAATAAACCCTAAACCCAAACCCTAAACCCTAAACCCTAAACCCTAAACCCCTAAACCCTAAACCCTAAACCCAAATAAAGTGAAAAATGTCCCAGAGTACTACCCAAGAGCTCAAGCATGGCTTCGATGTTCGCTCTCATCCTTTGCCCATCTACCTGAGGGTAGGGTTTCGGGTTTAGGGTTTTAAGTTTTCGCTCTGTTCAGATGGAAAGAAAAATGCGCAAAAGGGAACGTGGTGCACTGGTATGTGCACAGTGTCACAGGGGAATCTAGATTTGGAAATTGTGATCGTGAAATTAGGCTTCTCGATGTGCCATGTACATTCTTTCCATAAACCATAAATTCTGGACAACTAAGCCCCGAAACTCAAGACCCCAACCCGAAACCTCCTGAGCCCTAAACCCTAAGCCCCCTATCCTAAACCCCTAGGACCTAAACCCAAAAACTTTAATCCAATGCCCTGCCTAAATGGTCCACTCTCCTGCTGCGACCAAGACTCGCCACTGGCTTGACTCTCCTGGCCGCCTTGCGCATGAATCTCGGAGGTCAACATGTCCGACTTACTGACATCCTGGGTTTGGTTCAGGGTTCAGGGTTCAGGGTTTAGGGATTAAGGCTTAGAACCTTAGGGCTTAGGGCTTGGGGTTTAGTGTTCAGGCTTGAGGGCTTGGGATGTTACATTCAATGCCATTGGTTACGAAACCCCAGTACAGCTTTGACTTACGACAAAGCCAAACAATGGCAACTGAAACTCAACCCTAAACCCTAAACCCTATACCTAACCTGGACCCTAAACCCTATACCCTGAGCCCAAAGCCCTAAACCCTATACCCAACCTGGGATAATAACAAGCCAGCATCTGGTTGAGATCCTTCGGGTTCTGACGTCTGGGCCACTGCAAAGGAAAGGTCTCCATGCTTCAACACCTGAGGGTTGTCAAAATCATGGGTTGAGGGTTTACGGTTTGGGATTTAGGGTTGAGGCTCAAGGGTTTAGGGAGGGTTAAGGGCTTAGGGTTTAGGGTTTAGGGTTTCCCCCTAAATCCCTACACCCCGAACTCTAAACCCTAAGAGCCCTTAAACCCTGAAGCCCACTAGAACCCTATACTTCTTGGATGGGAGGGGGCTCCGCACCTGGATTTGAGAAGACAAGTCCTCTATCCTGGCTGCCAGCTGCTGGAAGGACCCCACGGCAAGATTGTACAGATCTTCCTGGAGGTGCATTGCCTGCATGCCACAAAAACTGTGGGGGGTTTAAGGATAAAAAGCCCATGGTCTCGGATTTTAGGGTGGAGCCTAGGGTTCGAATCGGCTGCTTAAGGATTTTCAGTTTGGGGGACTAGTGAGGCCCTAAACCCTAAGCCCTAGACCCGAAATCTTAAACCCTAAACCCCTGCCTGGAGCATGTTATACTTGATGAAGCGGGGGGCCGTCTTGGAGTCATGTGCCCACCGGGACCTGGGATGTTTGGCGACCCCACATGGGTTAGGGAGGCTTGGGGTTTTGGGTTTAGGGAGGCTTAGAAATTTGCGTTTAAGGGAGGTGCAGGGTTCAGTAGCGATTCTTGGGGTTTCGCGAGAATGACTGGGAGTTTCTTGGACTTGTGAAGCCTCTCTACCGGCTGTAGGCACGGAGACCCCAATCTTGCTAAACTCCCATCTTATAGCAGAATACACATGACTATGACTGTTGCTAATACTACTACTACTACTACTACTACTACTACTGCTACTACTACTTCTACTGCTACTATTTCTACTAAAACTATTGGAACCCCGGTAGCCCCGAGCATAACAGCATAAAAATAAAAACCTATCACCAGCGCAAGCCCTGATAGCCCTGGCACAGGGGGCCGATGAACTCTGACACCTCGATAGTTCCAGACTGATCTTGGTCGATCATGTGGAAGAGCTGCTCCAAATCTTGCTCGTCGATATCCTCTTGAATTTTGAGGGTTGAGGGAATGGGCTCAATGTCCTCGTTGCTTTTATCTTCAAAATATTTCTGGGTCGGCTGGTCGGGAACGACTTACTTCAGTTGTTCTTGCAAACGTGAACATGCCTTCGGCTTTAATTCGGTCTCCCAATCTATAATAATCTCTTCTGGGTGATATTGGATACTGCGGGCGAGTGTGTGGGGGGGGGGGCTCAAGAGTAGTATCGGGGCATTACTGAAGTTGTGCTTACCACGCTTAACCCTGAACCCCCAACCCTGAACCCTAAGCCCCAAACTCGTGAACCCTAAGCCCCAAAGCCCAAGCCCCCAACCCGTGAATCCTGCATGGACCCTAAGCCCTAAACCCTAAACTCTACAGAAGTTCAAAAAAGTTCAAACCCGTAAACCCTAAACTCTAATTCCTAAACCCTAAACCCCACACTCTAAACCCGAAACTCTCAATCCAAACTCAAAATCCGAAGCCCATGTTCGTTTCATCCCAGTATCCATGACGCGGAGGCGGCTTTGAAAATCTTGATCGCTACGGGCTCCTTCGATGAGTTCCTGCATAGACGGTCTCGGAGTTTAGGCTTTGGAGTTTCGGGTTTTAGGACTTAGGGCTCTAGGACTTTAGGGTTTAGGACTTTAGGGCTTATAGGGTTTTAAGGCATTTCAGGGGTTTAGGGTATCGGCCCATTTCTCTAAGGGTATATATATATATATATGTATTGGGGGGGGAGGGTCCACAAATAAGGGGCGCGTATTCGTTCTTATCAAGGCTCCCAGAACGGGGACCTTTCGACTTCTGGGATCCACGAGTAACATATAAGGGTTTAGGGTTTAGGGTTTAGGGTTTAGGGTTTAGGGTTAGATCTCTAAATGGGGGCCCTGTTTTAGGTCCCCAAAATAATACGGCAGCCTCATCCCGAAAAGGGACTCTAATGTAGAGAACGACCTATTTCTGAGCCACAGTGCCAGTGAGTCTTCCTTACATAATTTTACTGGACATGGCTTCCTTATCAAGTAGGGACTGTATTCGGGACTATACTAAACTACAAAGGGGACCACTATGTTCACCGCTGCGGCTCCTTGAATAAGGCTACCATTGGCAGTAACTCATAAAAGGTATACACAAGAGCATGTGGGAGCACTCTCCTGCAAAGATAGCTGTCCACTTCCATCCTTGTCGATTCTGCCGAAAATCTTCGCCAGGGACTTTCCTCAGTCCAGGTTTCTTCACCACAGTGGTTCGCAAGCATGGCTGATGATACAAAGCAACATGAAAAACACCGTGGTCCCATTCTCTTTTGTATCACTTCCGTAAAGGAAAATGGAAACAACAGTTTCCATCTTCATGTCCACCTATGAAATCCTAAACACGAAACTCTCTTTCGGGAAGATGTCTGTCGAAGTCAATCTCATCCTCCATCTCCTCCGCCAAGGTTTGGACATCGTTGAGACGGGCATCTGCAAAGGTGTCAACGACAACTGCAACCTGTTCCGGGGATGTGTCGCTTTCCGAAGATTTGGCACCCCTTCGTGGGTATAATGGGCTTTCATTTCAGCATTTTCAAGGAATATGCACGGTTTCTGGACAGTAGAGGTCTTGGGGTCTCCTAAGTATACCTGTAACCCCTATAAGGGATATCATGGTCTTGGAGATCCTCAGCATTATCCTACTTACTAAGCCCGCCCCCAAAATCCCTCACATACTAAGCCTTCCGCCCACAATTCTCGTCCTACCGTGGATACCAAGATCCTGCATACCCCTAGATACTTGCAACCTTGTGCTTTATGGCATTATGATATACTTATTAGGACATGCAGGAGCTTCAGCATCAACAGTTCTACCGACTTCCGCAGAGCAACGATGAGATTCAGAACTCCAAATACCAAGGTCAGCTGAGAGCCGACGAAGATGAAGGCAGTTGCTGGATGTGCCTGCCAGCTGACCGGGTTGCAACCCAAAGCCCTAAACCTCAAGCCCTAAACCCTTCTCCCGAAACCAGAGGATCTAGACTCTAAGCCCCAAGTAAGCCCTAAACCCCAAGTCACACTTTCAAAACCCTAAACTCTAGACTAGTAAAACACTGAAGCCCAAACGGCTCCTACGATCACTGGTGTGACGTCGATTACCATAAGGTTCCGGGATTTAGGGTTTAGGCGTCACGGTTTAGGGTCAAGAGATTTCGGGTTAAGGCTTCAGGAATTTATGTAAGGTTTAGGGTTTACATTCCCCATCGCCAGATAGTCTACAGGGTATACGGGAATCCGGGAATCTCAGAACTTCCATATTCTATCTCAAGCCATCTCTGATGCCTGGCGCCCGCTAAACCCGAAACTTCAATAACGCCTTAGGGGTATTGCAGGGGCCTTAAAACTTATCAATATCGTTTGAGGTACCCTATTCTATAATTATACGAGGAACGTGGAACCATAATGTTGAGAATTGGCAAAGCCCCCGTAGTATGCATTTTAAGCTTCAAGCCGTAACTCTCCCCAGCCTGAATTACTGGCACCGCAACCTCGCCCCAGCTGTCACCAGCAATAACCGTCTTGAAAAGCAATAAGTTTGCATCCATGACCTTGGTTCTCTGGTGTAATGGGTTTAGGGTTTAGGGTTTAGGGTTTGGGGTTTAGGGGTTTAGGGGTTTGCAAACAACGAAACTGCGTCTGAAAGCGATGGCTCTCGTTAAGGATACGGAGTGTCATGGGATCTTTACTCCAAGGCTCAAGGTTTAAGGAAGATCCGCCCTGTCCGAATACGAACTTTAAGGTTTAGGGTTTAGGGTTGGTTTAGGGTTGAACCATTCCTCTGCAAGGACCTCGTACACCAGGATTTTGCACAAGTGGGAGACTTGAATTCTACTGCTGAAGCACAGCAAAGCGGAACGGTTCGAAAGCGAGTTCCAAGCGAAATAACGACTACTGCACCCATGCATAGACCTGGTACGTGAAACGTATGATTCATCCTAAACCCCTAAACTACCCCTAAACCCGTAAAATTTAAACCCTACACTCATTACCAATGACTCCGAGGGGCCGAAGATGTTGCTCGTCTACATTGCAGGCAATCCTCAAAAACGCCCTGAGTGGCGTGCATGTCCCGCACGAAGGGATTCACAGTTTCCACCATTAACATGGCCCAGACGGTCATCACCAGAAAACATAACCTCTGCGTCAGACCCTAAACCCTAAACCCTAAACCCTAAACCCTAAACCGACATGTGAACTGTCGCTCTTCTGAGCTTCTCTCAGAGAGCAAAACGGATACTTCTCGAAAGTAGGATCCCTTTACATATCCGATAACCCTAAATACAATATGGCACGTGTATTTATGGTGAAAATGTATAAGGGAATTCCATAATCTCGAGAAATGACTCAATCAGAGAACCCGTGAAGAACATCAGAACAATGGCCCAGCAACAGAAATGACCACAGCAGTGTCCTGAAACACGTGGCCATCATCATCACCTGTCCCCATGACCCTGGACAGAGCTAGAAAGCAGCACTCTCATTCAGGCGTGGAAGTCTATGGAAATTTGGTGCCACTTGCAACTGTATCCGACAATTTACATTCACAGGAGCTCACGACAGGAGTCTACTGTAGAAGCATAACAATTACAAAACTTACCCCATTCTAACCCCTATATAATCCCTATATGACCATACCCCAAACCCTATTCTAATTATTTAGGCCACTGTAGTAATTTCTACATGGGCCTATTATTTTTCTTTTGTTGCTATGCCCACAAGTGGAGAATCACAAAATCAAAAGAGGTCTGTCCCTGGGGGTTTCCCGGGGACATCTTTGTCTTCAGGACTTCGGAGTTTGGAATTTCAGGCTCGCTTTGGAACTTCGGGTGG